GCCTTATTTGATTCATCGGATTCGTCGCTGAAAATAATTCGAAAGCAAGGGGAAAGACTGACACAGCATGCAATACTAATTTATCATTAAGCTCGATATCCCGATATGTACATACTCTTCTTTTAGCTATGTGTACATGTATTCCATGTACCCAATATAGTCCTAGACCATGGCGGTAATCTCCGAACTTCTTTTATCTATGCTCCGAACAAATGTTTTGTTTCGCGATTTTGTTAGAGCCCCTGTCGCCGGTCGCGCTTATTTGCGTTTTGATCGAATATGACAGAGACGTAATCAAACATGGCGTCATTGTAACACTACTCTTCTTTTATCTATTATTGTAAACATACATTATGGCATCCATAGATAAGAAATGGTTTGATTGATGAATTTTGAAGGACAATTGTAAAATACTTTAATTAAAATGTATATATTTATTTTTTATTAATTACAAGTTATAAGTGTATTTACAATAATTAAATAATAAAATAATAAAAAAATATGTTTTAATATCGTAATGATTGATTTTTTTATATGATTATGGATTGATGATTTTTGTTTATATCAATATAATCGCACACTTTGATATGGCAAACAAATGTTTATATTAAATTGTGTAGTGTATTACCATATCCTATAATAACATAAATGGCATTTTCTATAAATTTATTCAAATTTCTCTGTGCGTCATCTAACTACAAATGTATGCACCATATTTTAAAATCACACATTGACGGAGTGGACACTCTACAGTAAATTTTATTTAGATGATTTATGCTTTGGCTGTGACAGTTAATACTAATTTGTATAACCTCACCGAACCGAACTGTTACTTTGACGTGTCCTTTTCCAAAAGCGACACAGTTTAAAAAATTGTTTTAGACGTAGTGAATTCAATAAAATATGCACACTGTGCTTACAAGAGCAAATGCTATTTTAGCATATACATTAAGTGTATTAGCGTTTCTTACGTTTTGTTGCTTTGCTTCTACAGTTTTTATTGATTACCGTACACCCGCACATATGAATACTGTAAAAGTTGTCGTGTAAGGATAATTGTAATGCAATTTACAATTACGCTGAAATGTAATTACTAATAGTACAATAATATATTTTAGAAAAAACGTGCCCGACTATAGTGCATCTAGAGAGAAAAATGACTTGGGTTTCCTTACATTTGATTTAAAAACAGATTTGACTGACTTATTTAACTGGAATGTTAAACAATTGTTTCTATACTTAACAGCTGAATATATTACACCAAATAATGAACTGAACCAGGTAAATTAAATGGTGATTTTCCATATTTAATAAACAGTTTTGAGTTTTATATAACAATTTTTGTTCAGGTTGTACTATGGGATAAAATTATTGAGCGTGGACAGAATGCTGTTCTTGATATGAAAAACATGAATACTAAATATTATTTTTGGGATGATGGAAATGGACTTAAGTGAGTCATATTTAATTTATATTTAAAAATAATTAATATTATACTTCATCAATAAAAATGTACTTTTGTTTAAGGGGTCACCAAAATGTTACTCTTACTTTATCATGGAACTTAATTCCCAATGCTGGCTTGTTGCCTAGTATTTTTGCACAAGGACAACATTCATTTAAATTTCCTGAACAGTATACTACCTCAGCTGTATGATGTGATATATTTATGATTTCTGCAAAATTTCAGTAAATGTTGTTTACTTTTTAATAAAATAAAATAATTATGAAAAAATATGTTTTGTGATTATAATAATACACATTTTTTATAATTGTAGAGAATAATAGTTCACTGCTAATATTCTATGAGAAATATAAAATCTTTAAGGCTATACATCAAATATAAATTACAGCCTTTATCAAAATCTTAGATGCTCCGCATTTTGACGTACTGATTTGTCATATTTTGTAAAGACTACAATACCAAATTGGAAAATAATGTTAACTCCACACATGTATTAGTATTTTTATTATACTCAATAATATTGAAGCTTTGGATAAGGGCTGAATTACAAATACTAAAGTTTAGAGTTTGTAGCACAGCCTCGACTTGAATCAGAAATTAACTGGTATGTTTTGATCAACTTGATCTTTAAATCAAAATTTCTTAACATTTATTCTATCCTTTATTGCTATATATATATATATATATATATATATATATATATATATTGATTGATTGTTTCTTTTCCGAACAGTAAATCCAATAATAAAAAACAATTTGTTTTTTGAAGATGTTTAATACGACGTTTCGGAAAGTTTACCTTTTTTAGTTACTTCTTATTACTCTTTACCCCGGTACATAATCCATTCCTTTATAAAATTTTTTCTAATTAATCTGTATTGACCATCATTAATTAATGTTAATCAATATTTTTAAAAAAACATTGTATTTGACAGAATAAACCTGATGACGGAACGTACCTAGTTCCGAAACGTCGTATTAAACATCTTCAAAAAACAAATTGTTTTTTATTATTGGATTTACTGTTCGGAAAAGAAACAATCAATATATTAAAAAAATCTAGGACTTATCTATTGAATATATATATATATATATATATATATATATATATATATAGATATAGATATATATACATATATACATAAATTTTACATTTTTGAAATATTGATTTTTCTTTAATACAAAATGAAGAGCAGGAACAGACAGGTTTGTTGTGTAATTATTTTATTACTATGTAAAATTCTAATGATTGAAATATTTAATAGTTGTTTCAAAAAAAATAAAAATTTTTTAGTACAACATACTATAGTCGAAATTATTAATAAATATGTTATACATTGGACCGCTCCTGTATATACATATCAAACCTTAAAGTAAATAAAAAAAACTGTTATTTTTATTATTTTTAATACAATATTATTTCAATAAAACATAAATGCTAAATGTAACAACTTTAGTAAATAATTAATCATACAATTACATGTCAATTATAAGTTAATTTATAAATTATCTATTGTTTTAAATACTTTACAACGTTAGTCAGTGGAGTTATTCACGGAATCAGTTTTGTATGTTTTTATCTTCTGTTTCATTTGCATGTAATAGATAATATATTTTCGCCATCAGATCCATAGCTTTTTGCAATCTTCAACAACTCTCTAAGTCCCTATAATAATAAAGGTTGAGTAATTAAATATTTTTGAATATGTTGAAATTATTTACATACCTTATTTCTGTTGTTAACGACAAAGTTGCTCTTGATCTTGATTAGAAGCTCCTCATCAATATTAGCAGCCTTTTGCATAATATATACCATCTCTTGAATCTTATTAGCCTGCTGTTTTATAAGCTGCATAAATAATACTATATTAGATTTATACTTTAATTGTTTATAAAATATACAAGTGATTTTCACAGATCTTTGTAACATTGAATTAATTTGTCTATGCCATTTTTTGCAATTTCTTTTAATAATAATCTATCATGAACTTTTATTTCCAACGACTAGTAAAATGATAAATAAAATTAAAGACAATAATTATTACCATGTTACTAAAGATACTATGATGTAAAATAAAAACACCGAAAATTTAAGACAGGATATAGAAGCATGGTTGAAAAGTTTGAAAAATGCCTCAATATAATATTAAAGCAAAAGTGCAGGGATGTTCAAAAGTAAAACTAAAACAACTATTAAATATTTCAATAATTAGAATTTTCCATAGTAATAAAATGATAATTACACAACAAACCTGTTCCTGCTCTTCATTTTGTACTAAAGAAAAATCAATTTTAGTTTTTCTCATTTGATAAGTAGTGTGTTGTCTATATTTAGTCATGATATGTTCCAAAGCATGTTGATGGTCTTCTAATGCAGCACGTAGTTCTCGATTCTCTTGTTGGATTTCTCTTATATATCGATTCTCTTGCTGTATACCAGCAATTAGAGCAGTGTGTGGTCTTTGAGGTGCTACTTCATTTAGTAATTCCAATTCATCTGGGTACTAAATGTATATATATATATATATATATATATATATATATATATATATATCTGTTGTAATATTAGCTAAGAGCTTAAGTAAAAATGCATAAATCCCAAAATTTATATATATATATATATATATATATATATATATGATTTAGTAGTTAATTTTGATGTTGAAATATATGAGTGAGTTCTTGAGGGCGACACAATCTTTGGCTTTTCTTTGTTTGATGTATCGCCCTCAAGAACTCACTCATATATATATATATATATATATTATGATTGTAAGGGCACGTCATTTGATTTAGGCCTTATTCTAGCATAAAATATACTTATTTTGTTAAATATCAAATCAGTAAAAATAATATTTATATGAATTTATATATAGTTTTCAAACAAAAAATAACCATTACTAACTTGTTTTATTATGTCAATTTGTTTGCTCAAAGATTGTGTTATTTTTATCAAAGAATCTCCAGCAGCTTCTCTAGTTTTCAATCTACCTGCAAGCCTTTTGGCATCAAGAATAATATTTTGAATTGTAATTGACATCTGGAATATATAAATTAAATAGAATTAAAAATAAAAAAAATTGTGTCGTGATTGTGATTGGCCTGTGTTCATGGTTCAATTACATTGGTAGCATAGGGAAGATAAAAATATCCTTATTATTATTTGAATCACATTTTGTTAAGTTTCATATGGCATATGTAATATCTTTTAAAACATTCATTGATATAGCGACAATACAACCAAATTTTACGAAAAAATATTTATCTGCCAATCGTAAGTGATTGACAATTGAGAACTATTGGGTATACTCTTCTTTTATCTATGGTTTAGCTTTACTTCTTATCTATGTTTTAAGTGTTGTTATTTTCTTCAAGCGGGTAACACTATTTTGGTTTCGCGGTTTTCGATTCTGAGGTGACAAGAAGATACCGGGATTGTCTTTTTTTTATCCACTTTTGTTTCGTAGAACATAAGTAAAAAAAATTAGTTTAGTGTTCTGGAGTAATTCTGTTATTTTTTTAAATACTGTGAATCACAAATATACTTAAATAATTTGTATATTGTATTTTCCACAAATCTTTATGTGCTACTATCTAGGCATGTTATCCGCAAGTCCAACATCAAGATTTTAAATACTGAAGAGATTTTTATAGAATTCGTTTTACGGTATTTGCGAATATGTCGAAGCCAGAAGAACAAATGGATCCTTGTGACACAGCTGAAAATTCAGTTTCGGTATATATTGAAAGACGCGTAAACAATAAATTATGCAAATAACTAAATCTTGCATTCTTTTTAGAATGAATCTTCTTCAGATACAATTTCATCAAGAGGAAAAGAAACCGATTTTGAAAATAAGATTGAGAATGATAGAGGTAAAAGATTTGACTATCTGCTACAACAAACTGAGATTTTTTCTCATTTTATGACAAATACTGGACCCAAAAATCCTTCAAGTCCGCTCAAAATAAAAGCTGGAAGACCTCGAAAAACACCACTTGAGAAGAAAGATGATAAAAATATTGAGTATGACAATACATTTAAAAGTATATTTTTAAGTACTATTATCAGATTGTTAGTTAATTTTGTTGCTTGCTAGCTTTATAATGTATGTTAGCATAAACATTGTTTTACATTAGTTTGTTTCCAGAACAAACTTGAACATAATGGATATACATATAACATATATATATATATATATATATATATGAAAATAACAACATATTTTTAATCAATTCAGCCATCGCCACCGTAAAACTGAGCAAGAAGAAGATGAAGAACTTTTGGCAGAATCAAATGCTAAACTGAAGCAAGTAACTCGCTTTGAAAGCTCTCCATATTACATAAAAAATGGTGAACTTAGAGACTATCAAATTCGTGGCTTAAATTGGATGATATCTTTGTATGAAAATGGTATTAATGGTATACTTGCTGATGAAATGGGTCTGGGAAAAACTCTTCAAACAATATCGTTACTTGGATATATGAAACACTATAGAAATAATTCAGGTCCTCATATTGTAATTGTGCCTAAATCCACAATTGCTAATTGGGCAAATGAATTTAAAAAATGGTGTCCGTCAATCAGGGCTGTGGTCCTTATTGGTGATCAGGAAACAAGAAACACATTTATTCGAGAAGTAATGATGCCTGGCGAATGGGATGTGTGCATAACTTCTTATGAAATGGTTATAAAAGAAAAATCAGTTTTTAAAAAATTCACATGGCGTTATATGGTCATTGATGAGGCTCATAGAATTAAAAATGAAAAATCAAAGTTGTCTGAGATTCTTAGAGAATTTAAAACAACTAATAGACTACTATTAACTGGAACACCATTGCAAAATAATCTTCATGAATTGTGGGCATTATTAAATTTTCTCTTGCCTGATGTATTTAACAGTTCAGATGATTTTGATTCCTGGTTTGATACAAATCAGTTTTTGGGTGATAATCAATTAATTGAGAGATTACATGCTGTACTTAAACCATTCTTACTTCGACGTTTGAAAAGCGAGGTAGAAAAGCGATTAAAGCCCAAAAAAGAACTTAAAGTCTATATTGGCCTTTCTAAAATGCAAAGAGAGTTGTATACCAAGGTGTTAATGAAGGATATAGATATAGGTGATTTCTTTTTCACTTCTGAATTTCCTATAAAAATAGTTTATATAAATATTATTAATATATTTTATATACATCTAGTAACAGTACATTTTAATTTTTTCTATTTTTAAATTGCACATTATACTGTAAGTATAGTATAATATACTATGATAATTATGACTAGATGATACGATAACTCAGTCTTTTATATAATTTACAAAGTCTATTACATGTTTTTTTATACTAATTTTATAGGATTTTATAAACCATTTATATTATTCTAGTTAATGGTGCTGGAAAAATTGAAAAAATGCGCTTACAAAATATTTTGATGCAATTGCGAAAATGTACAAATCATCCTTATTTGTTTGATGGAGCTGAACCAGGGCCCCCTTATACAACAGATGAACACTTGGTTTATAATTGTGGTAAAATGAGTTTGCTTGACAAACTCTTACCTCGGCTTCAAGAACAAGATTCAAGAGTATTAATATTCAGTCAAATGACAAGAATGTTAGACATATTAGAAGATTACTGTCATTGGCGACAGTATAAGGTATGAGCAAACAGTAATTATGGCTTTAAATTAGGCTTGCAACGAATAGTAAATTAAATAAACAGTAGCGCACTATTGAAGACCAAATATTTAACACATTTCCCTGACCAAACACTGAATATTTGGTAACTTGGCTTTGAGAGCCTAAACTCGTTTGTTTCAAAGTTATCACTATCCACTGTTGTTATATTACTAACACATTGCATGTTTATTCAATTTTATGCCTAGGCTTGCAATGATTATTTGGTTACTTTATGGCCGAATACCGAATACCTAAATAATATATTTTGTTATACATGTATACTATATACATATATACTGCAGTACATATCTATATAATTGATAAAATAAAAAAATAAACTACTAATAAATTTCGGGCACTGTGTTGTGAAATGGTAATGGAAAAACTCTCACACTATTCTTCCTTAAATTGAATTGGAGTTTAATTCAGTTCATGGACCTGCCTTAGGGCAGTACCAGCCCCATTATATATATATATATATATATATATATATATATATATATATATAATATATATATACTAGATGACCCGACAGACGTTGTCCTGTACCCACCTCAACGTTTTTTTAATATCTATACTAATACTTATACCGTTCAGTTAAAAATAATCATTATTGTTCTTCGAGTTACTATTTACACCAATATGTGAGTGATGTTAAATGTAGTACTGTTTCAAATAAAATGATTATTCTCAATTCTCACAGTTAACACTTCAATTATCCCTTTAACAAATATTAAAATATGTTCAATAAAATTATATATTAAAAATTATACACTGCGATTTATAGAACAAATTTATTTCCAATAGCTCAATTTATTTTATTGAATTTAAGGATTATACAATATTTTCAGACATACATGTAGATGTGGATGTTTAAATGAATGATTTTTTGTTTATTCACGGCTAAAACATTGATTTTCCAAATTTATCACACTAAAAATGATCGTCTGCCTTTGTGATTTATGGTCATAGCATAAGATACACGTGTTGAAAATTAAAATCTTTTAAAAAGTACAACAAATTCAGAAAGAATTAATATAAAGAAGCAATATCACCTTTTATTTTTCTACCCAAAATAATTGCTTCAATAATGTTGCCTATAATTTTTATAATTTCGTACCATATTTTAACTAGCTTTTAGTAATTTTAATATCTAAATTACATTTTTTTCTCCAATAAATCAATATACATTATTGCTTAAGTTTATATTTGAAGTGAATTAATTTGTTAAATCTTGTTCACATGTGCTCTATTCAACTTACGATCAACAAAATTATTGCTCTGTAAATTTTATACTGTGCTCCAATTTACTTGATATTTTTGAAATAGGCTAATCCTTAACTTAAGTTCAGAAGTGAAATCAATTTGCACTCCGTCACCATCCACCGCATTAATTGGATTATTACTCTTTTAATTCTGATTTTATCAGAACTTGTAATACACTATTTTAAAGGTGATTAAATGAGTTACAACTTTCTCTATCATAAATTTTACAGTAACTTCTCTTATTGTGAAACGGCGAAGGGTTAAAGGGCTCGAAAGACCTCTGATTGGACAGGCACGCACTCCTTAATTAATACCTCTATCAATATTTGTGTAATGGAAAAATAATAAACAACAATAATTCGTCAGAAAAATACCACGAATTTTCATATATATATACTTTTATACGTATTTTTTCAGAGATATTATAATGAGAAATTGGATGTATTTTTTAATGTTTTTTTTTCATGAAATCATGAGTTTTTTGAAAATCGTTTGTACTAAAGTTGTGGTATTTTCTAGAATCCATCAAGATCTCTTAAACCAAGTTAGTTCTAGATGGAATACGATTATTTTGAAATTTGGTGAAAATGGCACTGAAAAACTATTTGATTTAAATGAAAAAATATTATATGCGTCTTTTATTTGCATGATAGTCTACTCATTTTACACGCTTATTTTGAGCACTATAAAAACCCATTTTCATATCTAGCCTAATAATGTTCCTAAAACACTATAATATAGCGATTTATTAAGATTTTAATTGATATAATTTTGTTCATTACATGATTTTCGTTAAAATGTATATTTTTAAAGATATTAGCAAAAAATGATGAAAAACGCAAAAAAGAAACAAATTTTTAGTAGCGAGTAACTTGAAAAGTATTTGCTTTTCTGAAAAACATTATTAAACATTTTTCTTTTATAATTAGTTCTTTTATCGATACCCAACGCTATTTTGAAAAAGAAATGTCATCCACCCGAGAAGTGGTAAAGGAGTCTAAATTGTTTTCACTTCTGAAGAGTAAGATGAACCTAGTTCCAAAATTCCAAACGAAATGGAAAACAGTAAAAAAAATTCAGACCGAAAGCGCTCCATTGAGTAAATATTCCGTACCCAATGATAAACATATGAATTTTTGACACAATGAAACTTCTAAATAATTTTTTATTAATTAATAATGTAGACATTACATTTTCCTTATTCATAATCATGAATTTATTATATTTTAATATTGCCTTAGCCTATAAGTGAATAGAAATGTTTGGCAAATTTTTGACAGTCTTCAATTGTTTTTAATGTCAAACTAAGCTTCAAATATTTTCAAGGGC